GTACGAATACAAACTGTGAGAGCATGGCCTATCGATCCTTTAGCGTTTCAGGACTTGAAGCTAGAGGTGTCAGAAAAGTTACCACAGGGATAACTGGCTTGTGGCAGCCAAGCGTTCATAGCGACGTTGCTTTTTGATCCTTGGATGTCGGCTCTTCCTATCTTTGTGAAGCAGAATTCACCAAGTGTTGGATTGTTCACCCACCAACAGGGAACGTGAGCTGGGTTTAGACCGTCGTGAGACAGTTTAGTTTTACCCTACAGATGCACCGTCGTCGCAATGCTAATCCAACCCAGTACGAGAGGAACCGTTGGTTCGCACAATTGACAATTGTGCTTGGCTGAAAAGCCAGCGGTGCAAAGCTACCGTGCGTGGGATTATGACTGAACGCCTCTAAGTCAGAATCTGTGCTTGCAGTGACGGCGTATGCCTCCTCGGATGACACAAGGCTGTCGATAGGGCCAGCCGGTCTGGCCCCGAAAGCATAAGTTCGGAGTTGTCCGTCCCTCCTGCCGCGGAGCACCGACGTCCAGGGGGTCTCTTCATCGCAATTTCTTTCGCTCGGGGAGTCAAACCCTTTGCAGACGACTTAGACAGGGAACGGGGTGTTGTAAGCAGTAGAGTGGCCTTGTCGTCACGATCTGTTGAGATTCGGCCCTTTGTTCCAAAGGTTTCCCCCACCTTCTGGCCCGTCACCCCTCCTCAAATGTTTTAACGACGGTCATCCGCGTCTGAAGAGAGCCGTCGCCCTTGTATAGGGGCCGATGAGCTGCTTTCTTCTTTTTTTTTTCCTTTTTTTTTTTCCTTCATTTTTTTTTCAGTTTTGCTGCTTCCGTCTGAAGCCCCTTTTGCCCGATGTGGTACTCGACTTTCGGCTCAAAGGAGAATTGTGCCCGAGCCCATGTTGGGGTGGGTGCCACGTTGTAAGCTTCTGGCCACTGCGGCGCGCCATCTGTCCGAAAGCATGGATATGTGTCCGCTTGTCTTCCTATACTTGACCCGGTGGGCGATTGTGCATGCCACATTGTCAGATGTCGCCCCATACGGCCTGCCACGTTTGGCTGCACGGAGACCTGGGACCAAAGGCTGGATCGACGTGAGTGCCACATTGTGCACTTACTCACGATGTGGCGGGCGACCTTTGTTTCAGTTAAAAAAAAAAAAAAGCTCTTCTTCAAGTATTCAAACAAAATGCAAACGTGTACTACGTACATACGTCTATAATATTATGTGTATGCCTTTTTTTTTTTTTTCCCCCGATTGGATACACCGTTCTTTCATGATGAAAACAACATTCTGAATCTTCTCATTCTGTAGATAAAAGTTTGCTCAAGCAAGTATTCAATCAATTTAACGGAAGATTTTTAGTAGAGGGGCAGAGACGGAGGGCGTCTGGCCCCCCCTCCGTACAAGCGTAATCGTGGTGGGGGGTGTGCGAAGCATGCCCCTGGTGTTTCGGACCTGGAAAGCCAATTCTCACCTTATATGGCCCTCCCCATGTGTGTGCGTAATATTATGGCTTGGGAACAAAATACCCACTTCTTGCCCTACGTGGCCCTCCCCACGCGACTGCGTAGTCATGATCTTTGGTGGGGCCG